AGCTCGACGACGACGCGACCCTTGAATGGGCACGCCAGGACTCCCTGGAGATGGTGAGCGAGCGCCAGTGCGCCGCCCTGTGGCGCTTCGCGCAGCGCCGCCGAGGCTGCAACGAAGGAGGAGTCGTCATCATCGACGACAGCGACGCCGACGCCGACGCGCCGCCGCCGCCACCAGCAGGGGAGGGGTCCAGCAGGGGCGCCCGAGTCAAGGAGGAGAAGGCCGACGATGGCGGCGACGACGGCGATTTCTCGGCCTTCGGCAAGTTTTTTTTGATTAGTTTTTATATGTAATGGTGACTATTTGACTTAAATCCGCGAATATAAAGCCCAAGTTTGCCGAAATTTGACGTGTTTTAGCCGAACTTTGCCTAAATTTGCTATACACATTTTTTTCCACGCTTGGGGCGGACCTGGGGGCGGCGGCTGGGGGCCAATTCGCCCCAGGCCCATTTTTTGCGCCGGGTCATCTCCAGACGGTGATTTTAGGCGCCCCCTGGAGGGCCAAGGGCTGAAGATGCTCTTATTAATAGGCGACTGATAGGTGCACATCCAGTCACCGCGCAGGCGTCCGATTTAATCGCATCTGGTCGCCAAATCAGGGCCCGAATCGGTTTCTTCCCAAGAAAAATCACATCCAACAATAGCAGAAGGAAAACATAAAGCATGGGCCACCGCCTCGCCGGATCCGCGCATGCAACAACGTGCACGGTGCACTCTCCGCGGTTGCAACTCCGGTGACAACGGCCGCCGATCGCAACAATACTCGCCAGGCTCGCGTTATACCTCGCCCTCAATTTGTTGGCCGCAACAAAAATTCATGGTGGTTCCAGAAAAAACTGAATAACATTGGTAGCAAAATTAGAAAATCGGGCGCCATTCCAACAAATAAAAACCGTGATGGCAGCAAATATTGTAGCTTGTTCCAGCAAGCAAAAACGCTTGTGATAGCAAAAACACAAAATTGAGCGTTAGTTCCAGCAAAATAAAAAAGGAAGTCATAAATTGCCGTTGTTGGTTAGAAAACCACAAAACGGTGGTAGCAAATGCAAAAATGCTGCTATGGTTCGAGCACCGGGAAACAATGGTTCCAGCTTTCGGTGGTGCCCACTGTAGCATTACGAATGCCGGTTCTAGCATCTTGCCCATGATGGTCGCTATCAGAGATGTTGCCTCTATATTTCCAGCATCTCCTCCCGCTGTCCCGGTCGCTTGTTGGTCGTTTGTCGTGGCAGTTGCAACACGGGAGTCGCCACCATGTAGCTCTGACACTAATGCAGGAACGCCTAGCAGTGGCGGGAGGGAAAAGGCCAGCAGTGGTGGGCTGGAAAAGCCCAACAATGACGGGCGAGGCTCCCAGGGGCCTCCGCCACTGCTAACATGGCATAGGGGCGGGTGTGCGCCCGCCATTGGTAGAGACTTTGTAGCGGTGGGCGTGCCAAGATACACGCCACTGGTGGGTGTGGCAGCTGTGGCGGGTTGCTTGTAGCACCGACCACTGAATGTCAGTCACGCGAATTAAAAATTTCGCAGCCACGGCAACATTGTTGCTGCCACAACTACATTTTACAACCATAAGAATACATTGATTTCGATAAGAGACTACAAAACATTAAAGCATACATTAACCAGTAGCTCTCATTGTGTAAATCATGACTACAAGTGCCCCAACTAAATATTCCTTGCTAGCTAGCAGCCATCACATAGTAGGCAAACATTCACTAGTTAATTAGTCATGATCATGACAAAGTACTAGGAGCTACTCCTCTGTTTAGGTTAAATTGAAAAGAATAAAAAAAACTGCAGCTCCATGCTCCATGGAGCATGGAGATCCGTCGATCTTCAATTTCTGGTTTGCACTCATTCAATATTTGTCGTCATTCATCAATGTTGAGGCATCCATTGTGTGGGTCTGCAGTCGAGTACGTGCCTTTGAAATTGGTCTTCTGATGGCAAATAATTGTCATCTCACCTTTCGCATCCATCGCTACAGACACAACAACTCTTGGGAGCTTCTGTTGAAGAACATCATGGTAACATAGTAAGCACTGTAGTTTCTTTAAGATGACTGATGACACAATAATAGTACAAAATCATACCTTGCATTTTTTTATGAATATTGGTATTGCTCAACTTGTGGACTAGTGGCACGTATGGTGTAGTATTTGGACCAACTCTATAAGTGCCCTTACACGACTCAACATCATTAACAAAGGAGACAAGATAATTCTTCTCCTCCCAAGTAAGCTCTGAGCCAATAGTGTAATAGGTCTAGTCTACCATATTTCGTATTTTTCTTCAAGATAGAAAATAAGCTGTAAATTTTAAATAAAATGTTAAGTTAGGAGTGGATAACAAATATTTTTAAATTAGCAAGATAACTTACTTAAAATTTTGTTTAAGAAACTCACACAAAGGAAAAAAATAGGAATCATGTCCAGTCCCTGACATGTGGGACCACAAATGCAGAAACCACATCATGGATATCAGGAGGCTCCATTCCTAGGAAGCTTGGTAGACCCCTCGGCCTTAAGGCTTATATCATCTCTTTAACACCATGGATTTTGACCCTTTCCCTTTTTTCCAAAATAACTTGGATTTATATGGAGTTTATCTGGATCTTTATTTGAATGAAGCTTTGGACTTAAGACTTAGGAATATGAATTATTTTATCCTGCATCCAAGTGCATCCAAGCCTCACACAGCACAAGATTTCACTAACATTTCTAGCCAAGCCCATCCACAATTTCTTTCTCAATATATTCTTTTTCTATGAAAGAATATACCCGCAAGCACATGGGTTATGAAGCAACATGTATTTCTGCCACTCCAAAAATCTCGTACAATTCTCATAATTTCTAGAGGTCAGCTAAACACTAAAAATGCCACAAACACTAGCTAGAAGTTTCCCAAGTGAGCACACCGTCCGCAAAGAAGTTTCTGCCCCAACTTCTGGTTTGCACAAAGTACCATTTACATTTACTCAAACTTGCTGAAACTTGGTATAAAACACTCATCCTAGTACGTAGGCACAACACACCAAAAATCAGCCCCCATGCCACTTCTCCCTGGTACAACAAAACACCTACCTGCGAGTAGGAGTTTTGACACAGCACGCTTCATCTAGTAAACTACTCCCTCAGTTCCTAAATATAAGTCTTTTTAGAGTTTTCAAATGGACTACTATATACGGATGTATATAGACATATTTTAGAGTGTAGATTCACTCGTTTTGCTCCGTATGTAGTCACTTGTTGAAATATCTAGAAAGACAAATATTTAGGAACGGAGGGATGCCTAAGCTACTAGACACGGTGAGAGCAGTCAAAAGACCCAGACCCTCAGTGCCATGGTGTGGTGACCATGGGGCAGGCATGCCAAAAGCATGCTCTGCATGTCGGCCCGCCACTGACCAGCCAGCCTTGTAGTTATCTCCCGTCCCTGGCACGCCTAGCCTCACCAGCAGCCACGTGCAGCCTCACCCGCACCACCAGTGCCGCCCCCACCACCCAGGGCCCCATCCGAGCGCGGCCAAGACCATGACATTGTGCTGCCCATGAGCCATCCCCATCAATTTCCTCTACAGCACGTTTGG